ATTAACAGCTGCTTTCCCAGCTATTTTTTGTTTGTGAGGTGCCATGGAAGTTGGTCCTATGAGGGTCCCCATTCCTGAGCTGTCAGAGCTCTGGAGAAATGTCATCAGAGAGGTCAGTGAGACYGTCCCACTCAGGTCAGTGTGTTCTTGGAGAAGCATATTGTTAAGGACAACATAATCCTCTCTGTTTGATAGTGGCTGCAAGATTAATTTATTGGATATCCCTTGGAAAATGAGGTTTTCCTGCACCAGGCCTTTGGCTTTATCAAAGAGAGTGATACATATGGTTTATATCAGAGTGACAAGGTGCTTATGAGGCCTATTAATTGAAAACTTTCTATAGTCTTTTTTTATACATTATCAGTATAAGAATGTAATAACTTTTTACATATTATTAAAATACAATGTAATCGCTTTCAATATATTATCAATGATAGCCTTTTTATATATTGCTATAAGTTTTTAATAGTGTATTTAATAGTATTTTAATAGTGTATTTAATAGCAACATATAGTGTACCAGCTGCATGTAATCTAACCAGCTGGGTTAGTACATAGACAGGTGAAATCACCAAGGGGCAAAAATCAGAAAAAGTTCTGAAAAAAGGAAACAAGTAGATGCTATAACAAGGAACAGTAGAGAGCACGAATGAGAACTTAGCAGAGGCACAGGACAGTCAGCAAAATAATTGAAAATTACGACTTGGAGGACTGGAAAAAACCCATGAACATCACAACTGCGCATGAAGACAAAGGTGAAAAGTCCACCATGATGAAGAGGATGGTGTCTCATTAGAGGGAGACCCCCACGACCACTGAATTGAGGATGGCACACACTTGTAAAACTGTGATATTGTGTATTTCCATACCAATATATAGTGGTGGGTGTATGGGGGGCAGTTACAATGTTCATGTTACACCGTGCTCACTGTATAAATGTGTGCTAATTTGAAGGGAAGGCAGGTGGGTCAGGAGGAGAAATGCCCCTCACCTCCAGCGCTGTAATAAACAAATACCTGCTCTATAAACAAATAAACAAATACCTGCTCTATAGACACCGGTCTATGGAGTTTTATTTCTAAGCCTTTTTTGGGCATCAAGAGCAATCCCCTAGTCCTGGATCCTGCTCTTGGTCACCTACAAAATAAGCTTTAATTGGGATGGCCCAAGCAGGAGGACATTCACAGAATCACAGATTTACAGATTTGGCTCAAAACAGCCCTTAAAGTTCATCTGATTCCAATCCCCTGCCATGGGCAGGGACACTTTCCACCAGGTAGGGAATGGACGGCCACCAAGGTCCCCTCCCCACACAAACCACGCTGATTCTGTGGTTTCCAACACGCAATTCTGTGATTCTCTGCAGGATGAACCCTCAGCTGGTGGCCAGGAGCTGCAATGTGTTGCCTTGAAAGGGCAGTTTTTAATAATGACACAGACACGGTGAAGGGGATAAAAAGGGTTTTACCTCGGGATTTGGGATCCCCAACTTGATGGCAGAATGCACACAGTGTACAGCACGGGTACAAGGTTTATAGGTTTCAGGAATTAGCATTTCGATCCAGGATTCCCCAATAAGATACAAGTTTTATAGGTTTTAGGAATTAGCATATCTGTCTAGGGCTCCCCAATAAGATACAAGTTTTATAGATTTCAGGAATTAGCATTTCTATCTAGGATTCCCCAATAAGAAACTTCCCAAATGCAGTGATGTCCCCCTATTCTAATGAATCCCCCCAGATGAGGTCAGAGCCCAGTTTACACAAGATGTTCTGGACAGGAGGCTTCACCCAAGGCTGAGCTCGGGTTTAAGATAGCACAGGGTACACTGAGCCCTTCCTGAGGATGTTTGGTCTCTCTGCCCAGCAGAACTCCTAAACTAAGCTGGAATATCAAACTCCAGGAATTACAATACATTCAGTATTTCCCAGACACACAAAATCACGTCTTAAATCCACATCTTTCAAGTTTCAAGAAATAACTACAAACTGCCTTTGCATAGCCCACCTCGGTACGCCACAYAGATCAGAAGGTAATGAAATTACACCTTTT